AGCAGGTGAAATCTCACCGGCTCGGGGATGACTCAGCCTTTCATCCTTCCGAGTTGTGCATAATGAGGTCCCGGGTTGTTGTTGGGGGCGATATGCTGACTCTGTAAACCGCTTAGAGAGGGCTGAAAGCCCTATGAAGCGGTATATAAGTCTAACTGCTATTGCTATTGCTATTTTGAGGGGACAGCACATTTACACTGTTATACAAGCTATATACTCACTACTTTACATTGTAGCCAAGTGTCATTTCTTCAATGTTGTCACATGAAAATATATATTTAAATATTTACAGGGGGTGTACTCACTTCTGTGATATATTGTAAGTCTAAGCACTATTGCTATTGACAATTAGAAACCCAGGCCAATACCAAGTACCCTGGTCATCTTGTGACCATTTGAGATGCTGTGCCAGCCAGGACTTTCAGGACTGGTCATAGCTACCATTCATTCAGCACAATCACAAGTTTGAATGGTTGCTGCAATATCACAACATTGAAATACAAACTAAAGGAATTTACAGTTATGTATTAAAGTCCCAAACCAGGAAAAAGACCAAGCATAGAATGCATTGCTTATTCATACAAGTCAGATTCATTAGAGCTGGACCAATTAAACTGATCTCAATGTCCATACGTTATACATTCATCCCTGATAATACATTTCATAGTTGCATTAAAAATAGCTTGCAGCTGACATGTTATTAATTCCATTGCAATTTACATTTCACAATCCTAGGAAGAAGAATTCAAGTTTTAATATACTTCCTGACCATCTGCTTATTGGATTTTAGCCATATGCTGTGAAAAACAAGGTCAAACATTATCGTGAAAGCACAACAGAACAATTAGTCTGTAGAATTAACAATATACATCAATTGAAAAAGACATTTCATTTCTGGCTGTAGTATCTATGTAAATACAGATATTTTGTAGCAATGTTTTTTAAAAAAGAATTTGTAGGTTGACATGACATTAGTAAGTATATGAAATACTGTTGGTTCTAGAAAAAAGTTGTATGTAACACAAGAGAGAGTCAGCTTGATCTTCCAGATAACTACCGTAAGTACGATTCTTGAGAAATGAATATAATCATATTAAATATTAACAAATATTAAATGCTCCAACACTGGAAGTTTTTAAGAAGAGATTGGATATCCATTTATCTGAAGTGATGTAGAGTTTCCTCCCTAAGGTGAGGGATGGACTAGAAGACCTCCAAAGTCCTTCCAACTCTTGTTATTCTATTCTATGCTACCCTACCCTACCCTTCTCTATTCAATGTAATGAAAGTAAATAAGAACTGAAGGATAAATAAATTAGTGGGATTCCATGAAATTGTTTCTTTTACTTCATAATTAATATTTTTTCATATATAAAAAAGAGGAGCATGCACACTTTTATCGTAAAGTGCTCAAATGTGGCCTAAGCAAAGTTATTCATCAATGACCTCTGTTTTATCAGTCCTCTGTATGATTACGAAAAACGATGTAGCTGCTTTAAGGAGCTTGACTTGAATAACTCACAAAACACCTGAAAAAAGTAGAGTTGCTTGAAGGAAGAGCAGAAAAGTTTTCTGCTTTGCTTGAAGTTTAAGGGCTTTTTCTGAATCGTATTTAAAACATACATTGAGCCGTGAAATGACAAGTCTGTTGTACAGTAATATATGCTCATTGAAAATGCCAGCTTGAACTCAAGGTACCAAATAACAGCTGTACTTTAATGCTTCCTAGTGCAGAAAAATCTGAGACACGGCTTGTCTCATCTGTTGTTTTTTTTCCTTTTTGGCAATGCCTTTGTTTGCAGCAAATCATAATGGTTCCACAAGGAACACAGTTCAAAACAATTCTGCATTAGATTAAATATTCAGGTCAAATAAATCTCAACTGTGCTGAAAAGAGAAAGTTTGTGACTTTTGTAATAAAATAGAGCTGACATCCAGGTCTTGATCTATTCCGTCTGTTCTTTGTCTCACCCACTTCCCTCCCTTCTCCCCCCTTCCTTACATTACAACTTAACTAATTTGACTGTTCTCAACTGACTCTAAGAAAAAATGTTTTATAGGGTCTGCATAGACAGCTGAACCCCCTTTCTTTCTGCACAAACATTTGTACCTCCTTGCTTGCTAAAGCAGGTTTGTTTAGCTTTTTCTGGAGGGAGATGCATCCCACCATTAGAAAGTATTAGGAAGCCACACCATAAGGGCATAGAACAAAATAGGTTATAGTAGGTAAATAATTGGTGAAGGAACACTTAGCTGTTTTGAATGAATCCCAGAGGGCTAAGGAACTGTGGATGTGATCTTAGAACCTTTGATTGTTCTGTCAAATACAGTAGAACTATTGGAAGACTGGTGAAGAATGAATATTTTTTTCTTATTTTCAAAATAGGAAAAGTGGACTCAGTAAGCTACAGGCCGGTTATGGTGAACCTATGGCACAAGTGCCACAGATGGCATGCAGAGCCCTCTCTGCGGGCACACTAGTCATCGCCCCAACCCACCTCCATTGCACTTGCACGCGTGCCTCCTGCCAGCCAGCTGGTTTTTGGGTCTCTGCTGTGCATGCGTGGGGAGTAGGGTGCATGCAGGGGATGCATGCATGCATGCTCGGGGATGGGGCGCATATGCAGGGGGGTACTCGCATTGCATTTTGGGGCCTTACACGGCACCTCCGTGCCCCATTTTGCCTTCCAGGTTGGTGCAGGAGTCCTTCCAAGCCCAAAACAGGGTGCGGGGTGCCACGTGAAGCCTCAAAATGTAATGCAAGTGCCCCCCTGCGCATGCACCCGACAACAAAAAGGTTAGCCATCCCTGCTATAGGCTGATCAATCTCATACCACTACCAGAGAAATCCTTGAAAAATATAATCAAGCAGTAGAGATACTTAGATTGAAATAAGCATATTGCTGGAAGCCCGTATAGGTTTGTTAAAAATATAAACCTGAATTTACTGCTTTTGGGGGTGGGGTGGGTTGTTGTACTTTTGCTGGAGGAGACCACTAATACTTCAGAAGACAGACATGAGACTTAAAAGAATCTTGATAGAATTAGCCATTGGGCCCTTTACATCTTAATTCAAACCAGTCGTGAAAAAAAAATGTAGCGTTCATATAGGAAAAATGGGATGCACAGCTGACAACATAGATGACATTTGTTTCAAGAATGGTACTTGTGAGAAGGTTATAGGTCATCTGGTAGAACATAAGTTATCATGACCCAGAATTGTGCTGCAGTTGTCAAAAGAATTAATGCAGTCTTGGGTTGATCCTTGATGCTTTTCCAAAAGGCGACTGGACTTTCTTGATTTTTTCCCCCTTAAAAATGTTTAGCTTGTTATCCAAGAAGCTCCTTCAGTTCATTGAAGTTCGTTTCATTGAACTGAAGAAGCTTCTTGAATGAGAAACGAAATGTTTTCATAGAAGAAGAAAAACCAAGAAAGTCCAGTTGCTTTTTGGAAAAATACCTTTGGGACAACTGTGACCTGGATGATTGAGAATCTCATTAGCAGCCTTGAGTTGCATCAACAGAGGTAGAATGGTGACATAAGGGGAAATGATAGTTCTGCTCTATGCTGGTCAGATTATCCCTGTGTCCAGTTCTGATCACTACAATTTAAGCAAGAACTGGAACTTAAAGGAACGGAAAAGAATGCAGAGAAAATCCAATTAACATTGCGATGATTCCATGAAAAGTGATGAAGAACTTAGATATGCTTGACCTAAAGAAGAGAAGATTAAGGAGAGAGATAATAACAGCCGTCAAATCCTTGAAGGTCTGCCACAGACTGCAGGTATTTATGCTCCGTAGCTCCCAGAGATTAACTGGGCATGGAGACTTTACAGAGGGAGAACCAAACCTGAAATAAGAAGAAATTTTCTGACTGTGAGAACAATAGATACTCCTCACTTAATGACCATTCAATAACCATTCAAAGTCACTGAACATATGGTACTTAGTCCTCAAGGTTATGGCCACTGCAGTGTCCCCACGGTTGTGATCAAAATTTGGGTGCTTGTCAGCTAGTCTGCATTTACAAGTGCAGTTCATGCTTCAGCTACTCCTCCCACCTGCCTATCCACCCCCATCTCTGTTCTTTTAACCATTGTGCATTGTGTTGTTGTGGTCTGCTGGTGGCCAGCGGAGTTGGCAGCAGAGTCGAACAGTGAGGAGGTTGGGGAGGAACATGGGCCAGTCCTGATGGCTGAGGGAAGCTCACACGAGGGCTCTGCATTGGAGGCAGAGAGAGAGCGAGAAAACAGTGAGGAAGAGGAGCAGCTGGAACCTGTTCCCATTGTGCACATGCACAGAGCTGCCAGAGAACAAGAACAACGAAGAAAGCAGGGTTGACTTAGGAGTAAAGTGACACCTTGGATATGATTGGCCCCTCCCATAGGAAACAAAAGAGGAACGAAGAAGGAGTGGGCTTTTGCAGGAAATAATTCATTCGTTTCAAGAGTGGAAAGTTCTGTTTGTGACTATAAGAGACTCTGTGCCAAGTATTGCCTTGCCCTGCATTGGGTAAGTAGTTATCTGGCAACTCGCCAAGTGAGATAAGGTTCATATTGATAAATATTCCTCTGAAAGACTGTTTGCTAAGCCTTGTGGACTGTGAAAGAAAGGAATTCACCATCTTGCCGGGACCAAGACTCTGCTTCATGCTTGTTTAGAAAGCTTAGGTCAGAACACGTGTTCAGAATCTTTTGAAGGGAAGGAGAGGCATGAAGTCTAAAGCTAATGTTCTGTTTTCTTCTTTCTTTTAGGTATGATATGGGCTGAATGTAAAGAAATTTGGTCCCAAGGTCCCAAGGAATATCTGTTTGAGTTGTGGAATATGCTAGATTTTGGTATGTTGGCTATTTTTGCAGCCTCATTCATTGCAAGGTTCATGGCCTTCTGGCATGCTTCTAGAGCCCAGAATATTGTTGACGCTGATACAGAGTTGAAGGACTTGTCAGATGCAACATTGAAGCCCAGCATAAAGTACTACACTTTGGGTGAGCAGCTCAGATTTATATTGTTATTCTGAAGTGTACTGTATATACTTATATATAAACCCATCCAGAAATAAGCCAAGCCTCATTTTTTTTTAACCAAACTTGGCTTATCTTTGAAATGAAACAGAATAACACCACATAAACGTGTCCTTTTCCTTCTAAAGTAAAAGAGGTTTTACTGAATAGCCATGAAAGTAAATTAAATGCTATAAAATAAATATCAGCCAGACATAAACAAGCCATTTCCAGAAAATATACAGCAATTTTTAAAACATTTTTTTTCAAAATATGACACCACCCGAATCTGATGAGACAGCAACTCTCAAAATTCTAGCTTTCTTGCCCTTCACTGGCTGGGAGTTGCAAAAAAAGTTGCTATCCCAATTTATAGTAAAAAGCAGCAGGATATAAAAGGTTGGTTTAACTCTTCTTATGAGATGCAATAATTTATTCAAGTTTATCAGCCATCATCTGCAGGAAAAGTGATGTGTTCATTGCAATCCTGAATGTAAACAGTATTGAAGCCAAAGAGAAACACTTCTGCAGATTGTTGCATGAACTCAGTTCCAGAACAAAGGAAGATCCTCTCATTTTGTTTTATTTCATACAAGGTTAAATGATACCTAGGCTACAGGTAGTAATGCAATGGTCATAAGTGTGAAAAATGGCCGTACGTTTCATTGCTGTTGTAACTTCAAACAGCCACTAAATCAGGGGTCAGCAACTGGTGGCTCTGGAGCCGCATGTGGCTCTTTCATCCTTCTGCTGTGGCTCCCTGTCACCACAATTGATAGAGCTTTTGATTAGGACAGATAGAGGAAAAAGGATTCCACGCTAGGAGGAGACACTATGGTGGGGGAACCGGACTTCCGGTCAGCTCCAGAACTGAACGGGGGTCTTCTGCTTAGGACCTGTGCAGCTCTTTGAGCGTTTAAGGTTGCCAACCTCTGCACTAAATGAACTGTTGTAAGTCGAGGACAACCTGTACTGTGGTTGACCTAATGTTTTGAGCAGGCAAGTAGAAGGACCAAAGCTCAACATATTAAACTAAAACTCTTCTATTTCTTTCCTTTTAGCAAGAATAGACTGGGATCCATCTGACCCTCAAATCATATCCGAAGGCTTATATGCAATTGCTGTGGTTTTAAGTTTCTCACGCATCGCCTATATTTTGCCAGCCAACGAAAGCTTTGGACCCTTGCAGATATCACTTGGTAGAACTGTGAAAGACATATTCAAGTTCATGGTCATATTCATCATGGTTTTTGTGGCCTTCATGATAGGAATGTTTAATCTCTACTCCTATTACTTGGGAGCAAAGCAGAATGAAGCATTTACTACGTAAGTTAATCCTTATGGAATCTGTGAATGATTGTATTGGAAGGCACTCAGCTGCATTAAGTCTTTTGGACTTCGTAACATTCTTGGAGTGAGCAGAATGTATTTGATTCCCTTGTCATAGTTAGCTATGTTTGTCGACCCTGAAACATTTGTTTGCTGTACCTGTTTTTTATGCTGTTAATATCGATGCCTTCAGATCTGTGAAATTAGATTAGGTGAATGTTTTCATGAATGGATTGGAGGAAGAATTATTCCTTTTAATCAGTGTGATTTTTTTTCCTCATACTGTTGGGTTGCCAGAAAATGGATTGATAAGATTATTAGAGAAAGCGGAACTAGGGTGCCTGTACATTTTCCTAAGAAGAGATATTATGCAGAAGGAAGTTTATGAAATACTTTTCATATTCTTTACTCTGTGTACATTCAAAATTCAATATTCCGGTGCAGATGTGTGAGCATGCATTTAGTTAGTTTATTTGGTTATTTATTTGTATCCTGCCTTATTATTTTCACAAGCAGCCCAAGGCAGTGAACATATCCCACACATCTTCCTCCAAGGACTTTCTGTATACAGAGAATCTTACAATCCTAAATCCAGCATTGTGCATGATGAAATAAACTGGAAAAGGGCTGTATCAAAATTCATACTGTAAATTGTTGCAGTTTGGGATTTCAGCCAATTCTCCACCTGTGTCTTCAGCTATATTTTGGATTTTTTTTACACACTTTCCCAGATGTATTGTTTTCCTTTCACTATCCAGCACTTTATGCTGACTAACAAGCTCCAGTTCTAATTGCTCTATTTTGTTTCTCTTTATATTCTTTCTGTCCCATTTTGCTGTTATTGAAGCATTAGGGTTTTCCCAATCCAGTACTGATTTTGTGTGTGTGTGTGTGTGTGTGTGTGTGTGTGTGCATAGCATTGTTGTAGTTTCATCAGGACCAACACTCAAAATAGTTGAGATTGCTGTTAATATGTAAAAGGATATTAAGAAAATGTCCAAATCAGATTATGCCAGAGCATGCTCATTTCTNCTACCAATTTTGGATCAGCTGACTTTTACTAATAGGGAGACAATCTGTTAAGCTAAAGTTATACAGTCACCCCAAAACCCATTTAGGCCATTTTCCCCCCAAAAGCGCATGTGTGGAAGAATCTGTGTGTACGCTCACATTTGCAAACCGGTAGAAAAAGGAAGTGTATACCACCCCTGCGACTATCTATAAATCATGTAAATAAACTCTGTTTTCTAGTAGAGAAGTTTCAGCCTTTTCAATCATAGGAGTTCTTTCAGGTCATGCATGTTCCTTCTTCAGCATAGCTATCAAAGATGCATGGCCTACTTTCTTCTTGGAATTAAACCTGTTGCCTCTGGAGTTTCGAGTAGGTTTTTTTCCCCTGCCTTATCTGCAAATAGAACAGATACACCCTTAAGACGTTTTGCTCAATGTGTTGTAACACTGGAATGTGTAATACCTGGGTGAGTAGGTGGGATGAAGGTTTAGAAGACTCAGGTAAGTGAGTTCATTTAAGACACCATGCCTCTGCTAAAGCATCCTGGTGAAAACACAGCCATTCTTTCCACACCCTGCCTCATCACGCAGAGTTGATTTTTAGTGTGTACTGTGTGTGTGTTTGTGGGGAAGTGGAATAAATAGCTGCTCTGTCTGGGAGAACTCGGGTGGAGTGAAGGACTGAGGCAAGCCAGATCTCTTAATGCTAACAGTTTATTGCTAACAGGTTGCCAACGTGGCATTTCACTACGCGCGTGTCTCAGATAATGACAACATTGAGACCCTGCTTGACAGGTCTTTATATATGCCGGCTGCCAAGCAGGAACCAATCAGAACCGAGTATGGCACCCCCTAGTGGAAGCAGGAAACTGCCATGCACAACAATAGCAATAGCACTTAGACTTATATACCGCTTCACAGTGCTTTACAGCCCTCTCTGGTTTACAGAGTCAGCCTCTTGCCCCCAACAATCAGGGTCGTCATTTTACCCATCTCGGAAGGATGGAAGGCTGAGTCAACCTTGAGCCTGGTGAGATTGGAACTGCCAGACTGCTGGCAGCCAGTGATCAGCAGAAGTAGCCTGCAGTACTGCACTCCAACCCGGAGTGGGCTGTTATGGGTTCACCCGAGTTCGGGAGAACTCGTAGCTAATGTTATGGCTGGTTCGGAGAACCTCCAAATCCCATCCCTGGCTGGACCCGCCCACCGGTCTCCTCCCAGGAGTCTCCACACAAGCCGTTTTGGATGTGAGGTAAGTTCAGGGCCCGCACGGAGGCTCAGGGAAGGGGAAAAACGGGCCTCCCGGAAGATCTGGAAAGCCAGAAATGGACCCATTTCTGGCCTCCGGAGGGCCTCTGGATCCTGGGATTATGGAATGAAATAAAGATTATAGAATAGTAATAGCAAAATGCTGTTCAGAATTGGTGCCTCAAAATAACAATCAACACGAGCCTTGGTGGCACAGTGGTTAGAGTGCAGTACTGCAGGCTACTTCTGCTGCCTGCCAGCTGCCTGCAATTTGGCAGTTCGATTCTCACCAGGCTCAAGGTGGACTCAGCCTTCCATCCTTCCCAGGTTGGTAAAATGAAGACCCAGATTATCGAGGGAAATATGCTGGTTCTGTAAACCACTTAGAGAGGGCTGTAAAAGCACTATGAAGCAGTGTATAAGTCTAAGTGCTTTGAATGACATTAACTCCCTCCCCCCCAGTAAGACTATCAGGGCAACTTGGTCTAACCAATTATGGGATGTAGCAAACTGCTTCCACTTTCACGTTTCAGCCCCAATCCAGGAGCCTTTGCAGGCAGTCGCTCTTGTGACCAACTATTTTTGTGTTGAATTTATGTTTACTGACAAAAAAATAAAGGGAGACTAGTATAGAGTAGCCCGGGTTCGAATCCCAGAAGAGCATGGCTAGCTGATGAGAGCTAAATAGCTTGAAATAGATGTATACTAGCCTCTCTTTATTTCTTTGTCGGTAAACATAAACTCAACACTTTAACTCATGTTGACTTTGTAGACATATCCATGTAGTTTTCTCGACCACTGTAGCTTTCTTCCTGAATGCTTTTAGATTTCCAAACTCAACCTTCAGCCCTAGGGATTTATGGTGGTCTTCCACCCAAGTATTAGAAAGGTCTGAGCCAGTTTTATTTTACAACACCAGTCCAAATCAGTTAGGTGCTGGTAGATTATCAAAATTGGCCTTCAAAAGGGGCAGGCAGCCAACTTGGTAAACCACCTGTTAATTTAAAATACAACATTGTCAGGGCAAATGGCATTTAACAAGCCTAAGTCTGAGCCTAATGTCCCTACGGTACGGACATGCGGTCTCGATGCTCTGAGATTGCAGCCGGTACTTTTGCCACTGGGGGGGGGGTCCAATCGGACATAAACCGTCCCGAATAGATGGTGAACAGGAAGACCACATCTTGCTGATGTCAGGGACAATGCAAGTCTCTGACTGATACAGGAGAAGGACTTCAAGCTGGTGACAAAAGACAGCTTAGGCTGATGAAGTGTGGATGGCTAAGGAACGGAAGGGAACAGAAAGAGAAAGTGTGATCATCTGGGGAATTCTTTCTGTTTTGGGAAAAAAACTGCCCAAAAGAATCTCTTTTTTATGCTAAACTAAATCCTTAAGCAGAAGAAGTCAGCGGCGGAATTGATCTTCATTGTTTTGTTTTGGTTAGTATGCTTTTCTTCTTGTAACTATTNTCTGTGGGATCGAATGGGTCTGTGGGAGGTAATCGGCAGAAGGCAGTCTCTCAAGTACCCAGGTCCAATACCATGTAGGGTATGTATTATGTAGTAACCATAATTGAGCCTGGAATTACAGTAATAAGTCGAGATAGTCATTAAGTGGGTCATCACCAATGGTGGGATTCAATTTTTTTTACTACTGGTTCTGTGGGCGTTGCTTGGTGGGCATGGCAGGGGAAGGATACTGTAAAATCTCCATTCCCTCCCCACTCCAGGGGAAGGTTACTGCAAAAACCCCATTTCCTCCCGATCAGCTGGAACTCGGGAGGCAGAGAATAGATGGGGGCGGGGCCAGTGAGGTCGTATTTACCGATTCTTCAAACCACTCAAATTTTTTTTGCTACCGGTTCTCCAGAACTGGTCAGAACCTGCTGGATACCACCTCTGGTCCTCCCATGATTGTCCTTGGTTTTATGACCTTTTTTACAATGGTTAAGTGAATGTGATGGTCGTAAAGCAAATGCTGCGGTGGTTAAGCAAACCAACATTGTGCGTGTGAACTGAATACTGTGGTTCTGAAGCAAATTGTATATTCACAGTGGCTGCTTTGTGGTGGGAACTAGAAGCAAACACCAGTTTCTGACCACAAAATGTCATAAATCTCAGTCACATAACCTCAGGGCAAACAACCATAATAGCGGTCAGGTTGCCAAGCACCCAAAAATGCAAGCATGTGACTGCAAGGAAGGAGGAAGTTTGAATACAGTGATGAGTTCCGTTTAGGGCAGTGCCCCTCCAAACTTGGGGGCACCAGGGGCCAGTTCCGTGGAAAGAAGTTTCTCCATAGACTGAAGGGGGCGTGGTTTCACTTGCCTGTATTCTATGGATGGGGCTTCGCTTGTGATTGTGCCTATGCACAGACTGGGGGTTTGGGTTCACTGTTTTAGGGAGACTCATGAATGGCTTCTAAGCAACCAGTCAGCTGGGGACTCCCTGTATTGTAATATCATTTTTGTAAGGAATTTAAACAATAGTATTTTAGCTGTCTTGGCCTAACGAAAATGTCTTAGGAGACCTAGTTCTCCTTTTAAGAAATTATCATATGCAGGATTTTTTGAAGAATTGACTAAACCACTGGTTCTTCTCAATGTTTTTTTTAACCACAGACACCCCCCCCTTTAAATACCTTTTGTGGGACCTCCCCCCCCCCAAGACTCAAGATTTAAATCATAATATTTCTTCCAGGCTTCGGAGACCTTTGACGACATCACGCCCCCCTAGGA